CAAACACACACACCTCCTTTTCCTGCTCCTCCCTTTTCTCCCGCCCACTTTCTCTCCACAGGAAAGATGCCGAACCTCCGGTATGCTCTCCTGAGTCACGGGCAGCTGAGACAGCCCCACTCCTACCCCTTCCGGGCGCCCATGGCAAAGCCAGAACCTTCCAGGCATTGACCTTCCATCCTCCAAGAGAAGGACTTCTCCAGTCCTCTAAGCGGCCCTCGGCCCTCGCTTCTTCCCCAGCCCTGAGAGGGACTGCTCGGCCCCAGCTTCCTCCCAGGGGAACTTCAGTAGCTTTGTCTCTAATATCCCTGTGGTTGGGTTGTTTTCTGGGCCATTTAGCTCTGGGTTCCTTTTCAAAGCCCTGAACCGTTTATTCTGGTAGCTCCCAAGTCCACTGCAAACATTTCACTGTGCATCTAAAAAGGGGCTTTAGGACAATGGGTCCATCCAGGGCCTCTGCCTCTCTAAAAAAATGGAACCCTAAGTGAGAAGGCACTTGGCAAGCTGAGGCTCCTGCAGCTTTATTCATCCACAACATCAGAGCCACATGGAGTCACTGGGCAGCCGTGGGCAACCGACCGCTACTGGGAAGGTGCCAAGCAGGGAAGATGGGGGGCAGGGGGCAGAGAGCTGTTGAGCATAAAATGCCTGCAGAGGAGGAAGAGAAGTCCCCAGACAAGGAGGACTGGACCAGTGGCAGCCACGGCCTCCACAGCCACAGTGCGTGGAATCGGGAGTGAATGGCAATAAACTGAAAACCACAGTCAGCACAGTGGGGACAGTGTGGCAGGAAGCTAAGCAAATGGCTAATTCAATAGCTGTATATGTAAACACGTACACCCTCATAGGCACGCAGACACATGCCAACCCTGCCTGGTGGCATCCCTTTGATTCTAGCTTGCTCCTCCCCAAACAGGAGTGACAGCAGGCTCTGGCAGAAAGGACCCAGCCTCCTCCCTCGGGTCTCACCCTGACCTTGCTCCAGGCCCGCTCGGCCCCTCCCTCCTCTGCCCGAAGCCACCCGCCTTCCCACCACTTGCCCCACTGTATGGTAACCAGCTCCGGCCTGAGCCTCAGTCGGTGATCCTGAGCATCCCCTCTAATGCTTAGAAAGACTCTTCCTGAACGTCAGTGCTCAGTCTCCCATGGAGGGTCCACCAGAGGCCATTTGGGCACCCCCAAGCATCCGCTTTTCTATTGCCAGCCACGGCCACCTAAACCAGGTCAGTCACAAACCCTTGGAGTGAGTCCCCTTCTTTTCCTTTCAAGCTTCATACATCCCCCCCACCCCGGGGATGAGACTCCTCGGTGTCTGCCTCGTTTCCTGTTTTCTAGGAGCATTAACGCGGCCTGGAGCCCGCCTGTCCACTACCCTACCTCAGGCTACCATAGTCAGTCTCATTCCTGCTTCTTGACCCCCCCTTTCCCTTAAGAAGTATGAACATACAGGGCTGGGGCAGGTGGTGTAGACCGCCCCCTGCTCTGTCAATCAGGAACCATTGCTCCCTCCACCCCTCCTCTTCACTGCCAGCACCTCTGGGATATAAAGTTTCCCTGTGTGGTCTTTGATAAACGTGGAAAGGCAAATAGAATAGCCTCAGTCACGTAAAGACAGGAAAGCACTCTCGGGGTCCCCATCTCCCACTTTCATCCTCTTCGTACTTTCTGTACTTGGGGAGGGGCTCACCCTTCTATTCACAAGAACCCCCTAGTGCAGGGGCTCCATCCTTGTGTCCCACACAGCCCTGACTCCTCCTCATCTTCATCCTCCTCAGTCACCGTTAGGACTCAACAGCCCAGCTCCTGATGTAGGTGAAGGAGACAGCCTCCTGGTCAGAGCGTGGCATGGCACGCTAGTCGAGGCCCTATTCTCCGGCATCAGAGTTCAGGTTTGAGCCCCGGCTCTGCTGCTAATTACTGGCCATACGATGTAACAAGTAATTATGGGCAAGCCTCAGCATCGTCTTCTATGAAATGGGAAAATTAATAACACCTCATAGAATTGTAGGAGAACTGATTGGCATTACACAGTAAAGTCCTTGCACCATGCCTCCTAGATGGAAAACTATCCATAAGCAGTGGCTATCTTTATTAGCTGGGAAAATCATCCCAGTTGTGATCTAAAGAGCAAAAACCAAGCCTCAACTGTGACATCCATGAGGATGTGGAGGTAAGTATCCACGAAGTCCCATGGCCTGACCCGAAGGACTGGATATCTGAGTTTCTCAGTAATGGCAAAACACAAGTAACCTGACCAGGGTCTTAGGACTTTAATAACTCGAATGTGAAGGAAACTGGAAATGCCACTTCCCTGGGTGTCCTATTGGTTGGACCACTGACAACAGCCAGGGCCAGCGAGCATGAGGGAGCTGAGCAGGCCTAGAGGCCCGCTTGAGCTGTTCTGTATCTCCAGAGCCTGGCCGGCTTCACGTGAAACAGTTGCACGGAGGGCCACACACATTTGGGCTCGAGGGGCACACTAGGCCCTATGCCCATGGGTCCCAAATTCTTGGGCAGTATCTCCAGTCACATCATTTTCCCCAATAACACTGGATTGTTAAATACATCCAGAAACGGGATTTGATTTTTATGCCTCATAACACGTCTTAAGTGAAGTCACAAATGTGAAAGAAAAAATCACGTGTCCCACTTTCTGAGTGGACTACATATCTGGAAGGTAGAGTCCCCAAGCCCTCCGACAATAGTTTAGTAAAAGGTCGGGATGCTCGTGATTTCTCAGATTGAATGACACAACGGCGCCCGGCAGCTTTGTCTGAAAGCCCTGCTGCTGGTGAGTCAGAAGCAGGCTTACCACCCCCCTTCTCCTCCAGTAGCTACCATTTGTTCGGCAAGAGTTACGTTGTGGGAGGGGTAGCAGGAATAAAAGACATCCATGTAACCATTTTAGCTTCCTCTCGGCGGAGTCCTCTCTTTTCCACACTAGTTTGCTGAGGTCCCTGCCATGTCCTCAGGGTGTGCGTTCCCTCAGAGGAGGAGACCCTTTTCAATAGAATATCACAAAGGGGTAGGCTAACAGTGCCCTTGGGTCACGGTGGATAACGCCCCCCACCCCAGCTCCCACCCCCCCACAGGGGCACACGCAGGCCCAGAGAAGAACATGGCGAGCAGGTTTCACAAAGAGATGGGCAAAGTGGAGAGGACGGAGGGTGCAGTCCCAAAGGCCCGAAGGCTGTTTACCTTCCCATAGATCCACTGTCTGAAAAATGTCAGTGGTCCTGACGCCGTAGATCTCTGCAGCTTTCAGGAACTGGGAGATTTGCTCCATCTGCTTAAAAGCCATCTTTGACTCAGAGATCTTGGGAATGGGCTCCTGTCCTGGTGGGTATAAACTGTTTATCAGCTTGCACAGGACCTGCAGGGAGAAAGGGGAGACAAAAATCAATGTTTCCCTTGTATTTACCCGTCACAGACAAAAAGTGAATCCAGGCCCTACAGGGCGCAGCTTACAGGTTTGGGCAGAGGCAAGTCTTGCGCCCTAGGAAGGCGCTGGCTCTGGGCTGGGTGGCCAGGTTCCCACGCCAAATCCCAAAGACCCAGGTGGCCTCACTCCCAGGGCTGCTCCCCACTGCAGTGGGGCCTGCAGCCTAGGAATCCCCTTCCCTCCTTGCTCCGGGCTTCCTTTCTCTGGAGGGTGGGGGTGCGGGAAGAATGTTTACAAATAGGGAACAGTGTGTGGTGATGAGGCCGTGATTGCAGACTTTCAAGGGAGGGAAGGGAGGTCTAATAATAGGATCTAATATTATATCTTCTATCAAAAGGCAGATCAGAATCAGCCTTCAATAATTCATCCCATATGTGCCAATGATGTATGAAAGAACTGAACCGGGTACCATCCTCCTAGATGCCCGTAACCCAAGTCCTGGGCAACCCAACAGAAGTGGGGAATAGCTGTTACATAACAGTAAATCACAGCCTGGGGAAAACATGGGCTGGTGCGAATCAGCCGTCCCCAACCCCCAAACGCACCAGAGCCTCTGCTCAGAAAAGCAGCTCTCAAATAAGGATTCCCTTCAGTTTCTTGAGAACCCATGCCTTCAACAGACATTCAGCAGCCCCAGGCTGCAGGGCTCCAGGGAGGAAGGGAAGGATGGCCAGGTGCTTAGTCCTCCTGACTCCTTCCTTTGTTGTACTTTGTAACTAACCCATTCCCGAGGGGAAGGAATAATCCTCCCAGAGCTGAGGGGCCAACAGGCTGGAGAAATCGAAGGGAAATCCTTATCTCTATTCCCACGGGGAAAAAAGCAAAAAGGCTTCTAATTTGGCAACAACTTAAGAGGGAGCTGCCACGTCTCGGGTGGGTGGAGAATCCTCTAAGCCAGCTAGGGAATTGTGCGGGGAGTCCGGATCTTCAACCTGGAGAAATAAAGGCATGCCCATGCCCACCCCGCGAGACACAGAGCTTGGCAGCCGCAGCTCCTCCCGCAGCCTGGCGTTGGAAGAGAAAGCCCTGGAGGGCTTCCCAGCCCGCCGCCCCAGCAACCAAGACCGCCCTGGCCTTACCGTCCCGTCCATTAACCATTTCTGAAAATGGGCTCGGCCGGGGGGCGGGTGCTCTATGTCCTCGGCGCACTGCAGGATGATCCAGTCCACCAGCTTGTTCTCCAGGTCCGCGTCATACTTCTGCTCGATCTTCTCCTGCACCTCTCGGCTTAAGCCGTAGCTCGGGCCCCTGTTAGCCATCTCTGGAAGAGAAGAGAGGACACGCGCCGCATCCACACAAAGGCAGCAGCGGCCCCGGGCTCCCTGCGAGCGGGGCTGGGACGTGCGGGGCTGGGCGGCCTGGCCCCGCAGCAACAGCAAAGCGGGCAGAAAGCCGGGCGTGGTTTAAATCAAGGAGCCAATGAAGCCACTGGGGTTTCACCTACCAACGCGGAAGAAAAGCGCAGCCACGCGCCAGTGACTCTAGAATAAAGCCCCTGCTGGTCCAGGGGGGCCGGAACGCCCCTCTAGGTCCCGCCTATCGATGGGATGAGATGAGATGATGCGCACGGACTCACAGTCGAGGCCGAACCCCCCCCCCCCCACCACCACCACCTACGGCAGCCGGGGCCTGGGTGGTGGTCGTGGCTCCCCCTCTCTAGAAGCGCTTTGCAGAGGCGGGGACCCTGGCCTGGGAGAGAGCAGGTCCTTAACAGGCAGGAAGGCAGGCCGCCTTGACGTTCAGTTGCTGATGCTGCATGGCGCCTGGAAGAGTGGTACACTGACTGATTCGATTTTCTCCTGGCTGACGCGGGTCAAACCGGGGCCGTTGCTAAGAGCCCTCCAAAAAGCCGGCCCTCCCGCATGTCACTCAAGCCCGCCGCCTCCCTCCCGCTGAGAGCTTCTTTCTGGCTGCACAATTCTTTCCCCTCCTCTGGGGGAGACGGCTGATTGTCTACCAGGCCAGCACGCAGCTGCACGGGCCTGGGGCCTGGGGCCTGGGGCCTGGGGGAGGGTCCGTTCTGTCAGCTGTCCATCTGTCGGGATTGCCAAACCACTTTCCCTCTGCCCTGAGGTAACAGTTGTCTGGCTGGACGGGAGGGAGGGGCTGAGAGCTGCAACCATTCCCTTGTTCAGCTGCCAGCCAGATTCCATCCAGAAACTTCCATCCTGGTGGGAAACTCTTGTGCCTCAGTTTGACTTATCCAAAGAATGCACCTTTTTTAATGCTATTTTTAATCGAAAGATACTAGGAGCATGTTTTATCAGTTAAACAGAGCTCAGTGTCAATGCGCTCCGAAACTCACGGAGCGAAAGGTTTTGATAGCTTGTGAACATTTCATCTGTTTATTTGAGTTAAGGACCTGGCAGGTCCCACTGACATGCTACCAGTGTAGCATAGTCAAACAAGACCTCAGGACAAATCAACTTAGACGTGGGTTGGCCTGAAAATTTTAAAACTGCCAAAGAGCTGGGCAATCAGCCTTCTTAGCCTGCAAGCCACTTGGGGGTAAGGTCTCATTGGTGTTGTGCAAGTCTCTGGGTACTTTTCATGAGAAAAACACCCCAAAATGTGTTCTTTTGGTTCTTTCAGCAAGTATTTTTTGAGTGCGTCATTGTGGCAGTACTGAGCTGGAGAGGAATCAAATAGAATTCTTTCCCCTGAGAATTGCTCAGTTGACTCCGGCATATTAGATAAAGCAATTCCGGTATGTGCAAAGGTAATTTTTGTGAAAAATTGGTTGGAAGCTAGGCAGGGAATGACTCCTTAAATAATACATGTATTGAGAGAAATCTGCTGGCTGAGGCCTGGACTAGTGGAAATGTAATCACTTAGTAGACATGTGGGTGGTTTGCCTGAGAAAAGACTTAGTAGTCAGTAGCTGAAGGCATAGAGAGAGAACTCTGAGACACAGAGGGTTGTAAGAGAACCCGCTTTTAGTAGAGCACTGGGTTTAGCAAAAGGCACAGAAAGGACAGACTAATGCAGATCTTGATGCTGTATGGAATCATCAGATGAAGAAGCTCTAAAGACAACAGAACTGGGCTTGGGGAAGAGTTTAGAGAGGGAAATTGTCAGCAGAATTTTGGAAGTCACTGAGTTGCATCTTGGGTGGCAACAGTAAGGTCAATTCCAACTTGCAACTAAGGAAACAGAGGCCCAAACAGAAGGCATGTTACTTTCTCTGTGGCTGGAATTGCTCTAAGGAAGAGGCTGGTTTGTTATATATTTTATTTTATTTTATTTTTAAAGATTTTATTTATTTATTTGACAGAGAGAGACACAGCGAGAGAGGGAACACAAGCAGGGGGAGTGGGAGAGGGAGAAGCAGGCTCCCCGCAGAGCAGGGAGCCCGATGCGGGACTCGATCCCAGGACCCCGGGATCATGACCTGAGCCGAAGGCAGTCGCTTAACCAACTGAGCCACCCAGGCACCCTGGTTTGTTATATAAAGCTAGAAACAATTCTAAAAGATGTACATGTACATTTACCTTCTTTCCTTTTCTTTCTTTTTTCCTTTTCTTTCTTTTTCTTTCTTTCCTTTCTTTCTTTCTTTTCTGTGCTTTGCAGATCATTTGTACCCAAAGATTTCTTTCCATTATGACAAAATAGCTGGGGTGCTTTAAGTGAATCATTGAGCTCATGGTTCTGGAGAGGATACAGTGGCAGAGAGTGGGGGGCCACAGCCCAGGAATAGGTTAGAAGTGTCCAGCAATCTACAGGAAGTCTTTAGAGAAAAAAATGTTTGATCCCTGGGGGAAGTGGGCTCAACTCTACATTTACTGAGTGTCTACTAGTATTAGCATTAATTTTCTCGATAACTTTTTTAAAGGGCCTATGTATTTGAGTACAAAAATGCACAAGACATGGCAACATGGTCTAGAAGCAAAGTTAAACTTGTAAACAATAAATACTAGCCAGGTGTCATGCTAAAAATATGCACAAGGTACTCAGGTACAATGATACCTAGAAGAAGGGGGTAGGGATTGGGGAACAGGTTTATAAATGAGATGACTTTAAGCCTCAAAAGATGAGTGGGTGTTTGTCAGGTGAACGGGGTGAAGCAGGAGGGGTTGGGAACGTCAGGAACGTGGCTGGCAAAGACAGCTTCATTAGGCAGGTGAAAATGTTCTAGTATCAAAAAAGCATAGGATTAAAGAGAAGAGACATACAGGGAGAAAAATATGGCTTGGCTGTCAAGGAGGCTCTAGCCCATAAAGTAGCCTGCTTGCAAGTGCCCCATGGTTAAATTTTCAGGAATTGTGAGAGCCAGTTGTCACTCAGCCATTATAAGCAATTAAATTATATAAACTTATAATTAAATTACAAATGTTAAATACTCAAAATGGATCACTTCCTTATTTATTTTGCTTCATTTTACTATTACATGTACTTTTGAGGATATTATGTTTATTGTCTCTGTATGGTGTATTTACTATATAATGGTGTGCTACTGGCCATTTCTCCCCAGCTTTGTTGTATTCAGTGACAGCAATAGCTTCAAACCAGTCATTAATGAAATATTTATGCCATGGATGTTGGCAAATTTATAAATCAGGGTGTTTTTATTTTGTTTTGTTTTTTTGGAAAGCTAGCTGTTAAATATTTACTGGCTTTGCCGGACATTGGACTTATGCAAGACAATTTGAGTTTTTTTATTAGGGAAAGAGAATCATTCGATTGATGTGGATGAGGAAAAAGATGATCAGAATGACCCCATATTTGACTTGTATAATGGGTTAATGTGGTGCCATTTATCGTAAGGGGACTCATATTCGGGAGGTCCATATAGGGGAGAGGTAACAAGGTTTTTACTTACTGCATCTGGGAGGCCCACGATCCATCCCAGTTCATTGGATAGTTGGTTTTATGAGTCTGGAGCTCAAGAGAAAAGTCTGGAATGGAGGAATAGACTTGAATCATCTGCATGCAAGTAGCGGTTAAAACTAGGAGTGTGGCGGGGCGCCTGGGTGGCTTAGTCGGTTAAGCGTCCGACTCCTGATTTCGGCTCAGGTCATGATCTCAGTCAGGGTTGTGAGATCGGGCTCTGCGCTCAGCTGGGAGTCTGCCTGAGATTCTCTCTCGACCTCTGCCCCTCAAAAAACTAGGAGCATGGGTGTGGTTGCTTAAGGTAAGTAGCAGGAGAAGAAGGCCAAGGTCAGAATTCACCAGAAAGTTAACATTAATGCAGTGGTAAGGAGGAGCCAGCAAAGGAGCTGCCACAGCTTGGTCAGGGATGCTCTGGGGTAAACAATTTCAAAGCAAAGCTCCTGACCTCAGGGAGGTTGGTATATACACGAGAATCTCAAAGCGCTTAAGTTCTAGCAAAAAGGTGAAAACAGAATGCTGTTCTTGAGAGCACAGAGGAGCCAGTGAGAAACGTGTTAGAAACAGAGAGGTGGAAATGGGAAACTGACATTTGGGCTTTGTATTACTATTTTTAATTTTTTTAGTAGACGAGAGTTTTTCTGTCAGCAAAACCCTGAAAGCCCAAGAAAAGGGAGAGCCCAAATGTTTGGAAGGATAATTTCCTCAAAAGACACATTTGGTTAAAAAAGAAAAGTTGCCTGCCTTTTTCTAGGCATATTCTTTAAATGTACAACAGCACATTTTTTTTTAATCAAACCAACTATGCATACCACATGACTACGTTTCTAAATTAAACATGACTAGATGTGTATATAAAGGGGATCTTTAAAAGGTGTATTTAAATTCCATCCATCTTCTTCTTCAGAAATTAAGAGTTTCTTAGTTGTTTGGGTTTTATTATTTTTTTTTTAAGATTTTATTTATTTATTTGACAGAGAGAGACTCAGCGAGAGAGGGAACACAAGCAGGGGGAGTGGGAGCGGGAGAAGCAGGCTTCCCGCCGAGCAGGGAGCCCAATGCGGGGCTCGATCCCAGGACCCCGGGATCATGACCTGAGCTGAAGGAAGACGCTTAACAACTGAGCCATCCAGGCGCCCCATTTGGGTTTTATTTTTTAACAGTTTCAAATTTAATGAAAATTTGGCATACTGACCCGTTGTGTGGCTGGTCATGTTCTCCCTGCCAGCTCCATGCTTTGTAAAGCTCAGCCTTGCCCAAGGCTCTTCCCCTCCTCTCCTCCACACAGAACTTTGTATTGGCTGCTCAGAGAACAGCATACTGTTTAGATTTGTGTCTGGAGATGCCTCTAAGCTCAACAGATGCAGCAAAAGCGAATTTATTCTGTGGCCTCACTTAGCTTTCCTTATCATTGGCCTTTGCCTTCTCTCTCTCCATTCCATGTGCTAAGATTGTTTAGAAGGGTCATGTCACTTTTAAAATAATGTAGGAGTTCCAGAGGATAAGGCACTCAGGGGCTGCTGGTTGTTCAAGCATTTTCCATGTCACTGGATACATGGCATGGAGTGGTTTTAGAAAAGAAAAAAAAAAAAAAGAGGGCTTTGGGGAAAAACAGGGAAAAGCCCCACTAAAGTAATTAACAATGCACTGTAATACATGATCTCACTGATACAAAATCATTTGGAATTTGTGATGTTACCCTCTGCAAAGCTGTATTAAATTTTAAAACAGCTTTTCCAGGGGCACCTGGGTGGCTCAGATAGTGGGGCATCTGCCTTCAGCTCGGGTCATGATCTCCAGGTCCTGGGATCAAGTCCCGTGTCAGGGTCCCAGCTCAGTGGGGAGTCTGCTTCTCCCTCTCTCCCTGCTTGTGCTCTCTCAAATGAATAAATAAAATATTAAAAAAAAAAACCCAAAAAATGGCTTTTCCTATCTTCAGATAGTGAAGGTTTCTTCTCCTCCCCTTTTCTAACCTCTGAATATTTGAAATGATACCACACAACTAACCTTCCAAGTTAGCATCTTGAGAGGAAGATGCTTTACATAAAAGCCATGCTCGCTTCCTTACCTCTTTTCTTCCTAACCCCCACACATTACGCCCACCAGTTTCTCACCGGACTCTGCTCAGTGCATTGTAAGGGAAAAGATCAGGACTCCTATGTGTATGTGTCATTGTTCTAAATGTACTGTACTTATCGAACCCTTATGCTTTATTATCTAGCTTTATGTCATTTTATGGCTGACAAAACGTCAAAGAGGTTAAGTAAATTGCGCAATTACGGGGTTTGTAAATGGTGAGCAGGGATTTTAAACCCACACCGCACAGTCTGTCGCTAACCTCTCTGCACATGCCTCTGCAGGAACGTTACGAATCTCTGCTCATGCTCATTACATTTTATTACGACGTTTAGCTCCAGAAAAGTCCCATGGGCAGGGCCACTTTCTCTTCATCTTTTGAGTCCTCGTGCCTAGCAGTGTCTGGGCGGAGCAGGCCCTGGAATAGCTACCCTGCCACCGGCCATCAACTCACGCTAGCACGAGGCACCGCGGCACGTGTGTGACTTGTGTGTATTTGGTCCATGACTTCTGTTCAGTGTAACTCATAGATTGTAGTCCTATAAGGCATTAACCTTTTTAGTATCTGTGTTAGGGGTCCTGCAGACCACGTGTAGCTTCGATGACTTGTTAGGACTCACAGGACTCAGCACCTAGTTTTACTCACAGTTAGGACTTCCTAGTGAAAGGGTACACAACAAAATCTGCAAAGGAAAAAGACACCTGAGGTGACGTCTGGGGAAATGAGGCACAAGTTTCAAGAATTCTCTCCCAGTGGTCATGCCACATGAGCTGAAATTCCCCCAGTAATAAGTTGTGACAATACACGAGAAATGTTGTCCACCAGGCAAGCTTGTGCGATTCAGTGTCCAGGTACTGGGAGCTGGCCACTTAGGCAGCCTCTGCCTGGCACCTATCACAGTTCCAGACTCCCAGAGGGAAAGGTGTTCAGCACAAACCATCCTGGTCATACACTTTAGGCAAAGTGAGCCACTTTCACCTGTTCTGGGGATGGTGGAAACCTCCTAAAAGCCAAGTTCCCAGACACCAGCCAAGGGCTCACCTTGTAAGCTGGTCTCTCTGAGGCTAAGCCTCAGAAAACTATGTTAGCTTTCTTTGGCACAGGAATTTTATCCCAACGATTTTCTCTCTATATATGTTTTCAATTTGTTTTACCTTGACAGACATAACTTAAGCAGGTTAAATAAAGTCCAACCAAACTTAAAAGCTGAAAGACACCAACTCAGTAATATCAAGGCTCACTACTGTGCAAGCCCATTTTAGTTCTCAAAAAACACCTATGTAATAATTGCATTTCATATTTTCTTACTATCTCTGCACTTCAGAAAGCCCTCTGACATAGATGACAGTCACCTGGCTATTTGTACTTAAGGCACATATTAATAGAAAAGGAATGTTTCTGCAGGCAGGCAATAATATATAAAAATTAACTGCCTCTTTAGAATATACTACATCATTAAGATCAAGTCCCCCCATTTAAATGACATATAACCCAACATTTAGAAATGATGTATTTCCTTTCTATTACTGTAAAGTTTTGAGCCTTTAAAAAAGGATAACCGTAAGTTCAAATATAACATGCAGAATAGAATCTATAAAGTGATAGCCTTACTTTCTGAACTTTATTATGCTTCAGACTTTTTTCTGATCATTTCAGATTTTTTCACTGTCCTATATTTTGTGAACTGCATTTTAAAATCAGAAGCAATTTTACAAATCTCCGTGTATGACCAACACCAACAAAAGACAAAAAATTCCAGCTTTATTAACAATTCTAAGTAGAAGAGAACACAATTAAGAGCTGTCCTGGTTAACATAAGCATTTAGCAGGTAAACATCTCTTGAATAAAAAAGAAATATTTTAATTAAAAAAAAAAGTGCAACATGGATAGACCTAGAGGGTATTAGATTAAGTGAAATAAGTCTGACAGAGAAAGACAAATATGATATGATTTCACTTATAGGTGGAACCTAAAAAGCAAAATAAACAAACAAAGCAGAAACAGACCCATATATACAGAGAACAAACTGGTGGCTGTCAGAGGGAGGAGGTGGGGGGGATGAACCAAAGTAAGTGAAGGGGAGTGGGAGGTGCAGGCTTCCAGCTACAGAATGAGTAAGTCGCAGAGATGAAACCTAGCGCACAGGGAATAGAGTCAATGGGACTGTAATAGGCCCGCACAGTGCAGGTAGCAGGTACGTTCGTGGTGAGCGGAGCATAACATATAGAGCTGTTCAATCACTGTGTTGGACACCTGAAACTATTACAAAACACTGGTGTGTCAACTATACTTCTATTAAAAAAAGTCAAGGATTGAAGGAAGGAGAAAATTTTCCAAACAGCAGCTTGTACTTTCTTCACAATTTGTATCATTTGTATACATCATTAAATAAATACTCGTGTGATATTTACAAAGTAGAGACAAGAGGAAAAAAACCTAAGTATGGGGGTCTTTCATTTGTTATCCCCCTGCCAATCTTCTGGATCCATGAGTTTATATACCAACTAAAAATGTGATTCTAGTTAACTACAGTTGAAAGCTTATCAATTAAGTCATCAATAGTGTAAACGAGGAGTTGAATGTCCGCTTTTTCCTTCATTCGGTGATCACTATGTTTCCGGAGGATGACATCTACATCTGTGCTGACCACTCGGTCAGCAACCTGTATGGATGTATGCCAAGGCATGATGTCATCTTTCATGCCATGGAGCAATCGTATGGGGCAGTTCACTGGGATAGGGCTATGTAACAAGCAGTGGTGTTCGGCTTCCTTAATGAAACTATACTGAATGTGATAAATTCCTTCTTCACTGTACCTTGATGGCATGGCCCACACACCTTTCATCTCTACTTCCTTTTTGACCTATTGGGGAAAATGAGGAAAATAAATGTATGCAACACTAACACACACAATAGTCTTAAACAGTCTAAGAAAAGCAGTCCTAGAAGAGGAAAAAAAGAGATAAAAATGTAATAATGCTAATTATCAA